CACACACACACAAACACATGAGCACACAACAAGAGAGTGAATATTTTACTTATAACGAACATGCATATCAAATTGGGCTGAGCCATGGAAGATGGCGAGATCTGCATCATAGAGCGGGCTGGGAAACCGGGAAAACTCACCCGATCGATTGAAAAGCCCTGCTCTACTATACACTCTTTTTGCAATGGTGACAAATTCTTTTTACTGTTTCCTTTGGATTTCGTAGCTTATCATATTCGTTTGGAGTTTCTATAAACCGTATGAGGCTGTAACAGAGGCGAGACCTTTGTTCATCTCCGATAGGACACAGTTAAATGGCAAGAGCGTTTCAAGAACTCGCCAAGTGACTAGGTAACACTGATTTTGGGATTTGAACCAGGATCACCCACACCTCAGCTCAGCAATAAACCCATGGTTTTATCGACCGTACCCCCGTGAAGCTTACCTTCATGTCGTCAATCTGTTTTCTCAGGCGATTGTTTTCATCTGTCAAGGCTGCGTTGGCTTCAGCCAGAGCTGACTCTGCGGACCAACAAAACACACGAGAACCAGAATCATTTATCCATACCTTGGTCAAGTTCATTTTCTGCTCTTTCATTAGAAAATATTTCTATATTTCATGAATAATAATATATCACTTTACTAAATATTTACAATCATAAGATAATTGCAAATGCAAATTACTAAACGCAGTCGTTACTCAAATTAAAAAGCACGATCGAAGGTCGCGTGATAACATTTTGGTCGTAGGGACATCTTGGCAGTCAAAGCTCAAGCCTTCCTTTACTTGCTACCTCGCCAAAAACAAAACAAAATCTGGCCAGGTAAGAAAACCAAGAGTGCAATCGAAAAGGTCATGGTTCTGGAAAAGCGATAACGGACCATTCTCTCTGATAAGAAAACAGTGAGATACACATTAGTGCTATAGTAGAAGTTTTGCACCCCCATAGACACTCTTTAGATCATGTAGAAGGCGGGCCGCTTCGATAGGACTGTTTGCCAGAGTCAACCTGGATAAGGGGGATGCAACGTCCCAGCAGAAAGATAAAAATTTGAAGTCACGTCTTTTTCAAAGGTTCTCAAACCGGAGAGATTTTCAAGAGAACTAATTAAAAACCCGTTTATCTTTTACAAAAGAAATTTCCCCCATACTTAGAACGTTGGTCCAAGGGCACAGCTTAGGCTTTAACTATAGGTATGAATCAATTTTCTATGTGATAATGGGTTATCTTAATATAATAAGAAAATGCGGACTTGTACCTTTCGCCCCCCCTTTTTCAACTTTGACGAAAGGTGGTGAGCTGCACTCTTTTAGCTTATATTAGGCCCAATAAAATCTCTATCTTCAAATTTTAATTTTAAGCAAAGTTTATTATGGAACAATGCAATTAAAAACAAGGTACAGCTTTTTCCCGTGACAAGAAAGAAAAATATGCGCCCAAACAACTATTCAAATGTTGTTGACGTCTCTGACACTGAAAACAAGTTATACAGTGAATAATTGTGTATTCACATACCTTTTCCAGTCGATTTCCCTTTCAGCTTGTAGAGAACATTCTCGAGTTTAATTATAACTTTCTCCTGTTTCTTGCACGTTTCTTCAAGTTTCCTCACTTTCTGAACTTTGTCTTGAAGCCTCTGCAGTAACTCTTGTTGTGATGCATGAGCATGAGACATTTTCAAGTAGTCTTTCTCTTTGTCGTTTTTCTGTGAAAAGTAACCACGAAAAAAAAAACACCTAAGAAAAAACATATAGGCTATATATCTAATGTGTGAGTATGTACATGTATTTATACTAAACGCGATGTTCAGAGAGAGAAGTATGCATCAATGTATAATTTAATAGCTTTATTCGATGGCATATAATACAACGATGTTGTCTTTTCCATACAATGTACATATTATATCTACACCAGACCAGCCAATGAACACCCCGAGGTCTTACTACAATGATGTCCAAATATAGAGCAGACATTCAGCACACCTTTGTTTTACTTTGATCCCAGTGGAAACTTTTTGTGTGTTGATATTCAAATGAAGCGTAATTGGTCTTTCCAAAGACAAGGCACTAGATTTCTCCATAAAAGTGGGCATTTTGTTGGTGGCAAGTTTTTCTTGTTTGTTTCTTCTCTTGGTTTTTCTTGTTTTCTTTGTTTTGTAACATAGAATAGATATTCAGCTCGTGGTGTGATACTTCGATGCTCGAGCAAGGCTCTCATTGTGTCTCACTATAAGTATGATAAATTGTCATATCGTCACACCACTCGTCACACGGGGATCCAGTGGCTGAATGGTAAGGGAGCTAAAGATCGAGCACATAGTGTCAAGCGTCTGACATCGCGTTTTGATATAGGTGGGTGGTCACTGAGGGTGTGCCTTTGAACAAGACACGATAACCTTAGCTAAAAAAAACAGGGCGCTGCACAGTGATGACCACTAATTTAAATGGTGTGTGGTTTGTGATACTGTATATTATCCATGCACTTATGTATACATTTATTTTTGTATTTATGTACCCTACTGTAAAATAGATTTCCCAAGGGGATCAATAAGCAGATTTTACTTTTATCAAAATTTGAACAAAAAAATATCTTCCGTGTATCTTACACCATTTTCAGCACAAGACATGCAGACATTATTTCTCTGAAAGGAGAGTACATGTATTTCAGAGGTTCTGCTGACGAGCCAGCGAATGGAATAGAACCTACACCATAACCAAAACCAAAAACCTCTCCAGACCCAAAATAAAACCGCTGGCGCCTGATGTTTTCGCAAGTGGACGTGGAGAGAAGCAAGCCCATAACTTACGGGACGTGACGGTTGTAATGCATTGTGCTGATGGATTGTGACAGCAGGTGAAGCTCTTTCTGTCGCTTGCAAAGCGCAAAGAACATTTTTAAAAAGTAGCAGATTCTGCTTTTTCTTTTTTGTTGTTTGCGTGGTAACTCTTCGTTTTTTTGTGTGCCTTTTCTTTATCTTTTATTTTTTTTGGGGGGGGGGTGCTGGTGGT